CCCCAAACCCCTTCTCTTCTCCTGTTTCCCAAACTAGCAATGGGGAAAGTCAGATAGTACTCAAACTCTGAGACTCCTTCACGTCTTGTCAGTAAGAAGATAGGGGGAATCCTGCTGGGGAACTTCTAGGAAAGGGTTTGCTTCCTAATAAAAGATGTCAGGGTATCAGAAGAGCCCCCTGACCCCACTCCCTCACCCTTTCCTGCTCTGAACACAGTTGTGTGAGAACATGGTACTTGGAGTTAGGAAAGCCATCTTGCAGCCTTGAGGTAACAGGCCTTAAGACTAAAAGCCTGTCCTGGAAATGGCAGAATAGAAAGAAGGAAGACCCTGGATGACCTTGCTGAATTATTGTACTCAAACCTGTAAAAGCCTACCCCCCAAACTTCTTATTTCATGAGAAAATTAAAAGTCCATTCCTTAAGTCAGTGCTTCCCTACCTTGACCAGTCATGGCACACATATTTATATGGCACACTGACCTAAACGGACAGGCTGCTTGCAGCCAGAGGTGACTGGCCCAGAGACTTTGGCCGCCTCAGGCCCTGCCCAGCTGTCCCAAAGGCTGAGGGGGATCAATAACTTGGCCATATCAGTAACCCATTTATGGCACACAAGTAGTGGTGGCAAACCAGTTGGGAAGTTCTACATAAACCACTGAAGGTGGGGTTTTCTGAACTTTGCAGTAAAACATATCCTAACTGATACAACATATAACCTTTATAAGTGGAGGGAGGGAAGGAGGGATAGATGGATGAAATGTGATCATATACCTATCGGTGAATTCAGAAGTTATGTCATATTCAGAGGATCCTAGGAAATGTGTCTCAGGATATATCAGGAGATAATCACAGCTTCATTAGAAAGGGAACTTGGTTTTGCTTCTCTCTGTGCTTCTCACTTCCTTCTTCTCTCTCTGCATGAAAACTGGCTTTCTGTGCTTCCCCCACCAGATGGCAGGAGATGGCTGCTCCACCTTTCCAGGCCCAGTGATAGTGGGCTCAGTTTCCGGAACTAGGCTACCTGGGTAGCCTAACTAGCTGTGTGACCTAGACAAAGAAACTTAACCTCTCTGTGCCTTGATTTCCTCATCTCTCAACTGTTTATAATGTTATATACCTCAATAGGGTTGTAGAAAGAATTAAATCCATTAAACTATGTAAAATCATTTTTCAAGGTGAGCACAGTATAAGTTTTAGCTATTATTATTTTTGATTCCTAGGCAAGAAAATCTGATTACTTGAGTTTAGGCCAGTAATCCATTCCTAATGCCCCAATCATATTTTACATAAGACCATATACTGCTACTCCTTTAGCACATGTACCTCAGCTATTATTTAGTATTTGATTGAGGACTGTTTTCACCACTAGACTCTAGGACCATTGCTTGCGCTCATTGTTTTGTTCTCAGTGCCTAACACGGTGGTCAGAGCCTCTATGAAGCACAATTCTAGGGTGCACCATTTACGTTGTATTTTATGTGCAATATGGCAGCTTGACGGTGGTCCAGTGCCAATAAGTATGCTGAATTAATGGCCCAGTCCACTATGGCTGGGGGTGCAGCTTGTGGCTGCAAAGGTCTATCCTCATGAGTGGGGAGACAGCTCTGAACAAAAGGGGGAAAAGCTGAATAGAAACTTCCAAATATATCTACCATGTGCCTCATGTGGCCAGGCACGGGGAATACAAAGTCAAACAAAGTCAGGCAGAGATTGCTGGTGTCATAATCCCCCCCCCCCACTTTGTCCTTAGTTTGATATCCTTAACTGTTCTTGAGTATCAACATACTCGAGGAAGGAAGCCCAGGCTCAGTGGGGTTGAATCATGATTGGTTTACACTGGGTATGATAACCAGCCCCTCACCTTTGTGACCCAGTTGTGATCAATGACATGAAAGGAAAAATAGATTTAAGGGGCAGCTGTGAAGAATTTGTTCTCAAATTAAAATAAACACAGTGAGAAGGCCTGCCCCTTTCTCCTGCCTAGATGTCAAGCCAAAGACAAAAGCCAGTACTGAGGTGGTACAGTAGAATAATAGAGCCTAGACCCAGATATTTTTATTACATAATTTTTTACGTGTTTAAACCACTCTAGTCAAGCACACTCTTTCCAGCAGCCAAACACATTTTAACTGATAAACATGGCCCCTTTATCTTTATAACTGAAAGTGAGTGAGGGAGACAGATCAGATAATCAGTAGCTTAAGATCAGGAACTGAGAAGGCGGCCCACTACCATCACTCCTATTCCACAGTGTACTGTAAGTCTTTGATTGCATAATAAGATAGGAAAAAAAACAGGGCTTCCCTGGTGGCGCAGTGGTTGAGAGTCCGCCTGCCGATGCAGGGGACACGGGTTCGTGCCACGGTCCGGGAGGATCCCACGTGCCGCGCAGTGGCTGGGCCCGTGAGCCATGGCCGCTGAGCCTGCGCGTCCGGAGCCTGTGCTCCGCAACGGGAGAGGCCACAACAGTGAGAGGCCCGTGTACCGCAAAAAAAAAAAAAAAAAAAAAAAAAAGACAGAGGAACTGAATAGTCGAATCTCAGAAACAGGATGCTAAGTGAAAAAAGCAAGTTGCATAGGAATCATGCAGAATGATTCCACTTACAGAAAAGTTCAAAACCAGGCAAAACTGAACAATATAGTATTTAGGGCTACATATGTTTGTGATGAGAATTATTATTTTTTTAATTATTTTATTTATTTATTTTATTTTTGGCTGCGTTGGGTCTTCATTGCTGCGTGCGGGCTTTTTCTCTGGTTGTGGCGAGCAGGGTCTACTCTTCCTTATGGTGCACGGGCTTCTCATTGTGGTGGCTTCTCTTGTTGCGGAGCACGGCCTCTAGGCATGCGGACTTCAGTAGTTGTGGCTCATGGGCTCTAGAGTGCAGGCTCAGTAGTTGTGGTGCACAGGCTTAGTTGCTCCACAGCATGTGGGATCTAATCAGACCAGGGCTCGAACCCGTGTCTCCTGCACTGGCAGGTGGATTCTTCACCACTGCGCCACCAGGGAAGCCCTCGATAGGAGAATTATTAACATAAAATTACGGACTGTGGTTTCCTCTGGAGGACAAGGAGGGTATGATCATGGAGGGGCACATGTAAGGTTTCGTGAGTGGAAGACTTAGCAAGGGATGGAAGTCAGAATGGTGGGCTGAAGGACCAACTGCCGCTAATGTCGCAAAAGACAGCTAGTGCAGTCAACTCGTTAAAGAAATGTTGCTGGAAATAAGAGCAGATTATATTCTCATAGAACAGTGAAAGCTGTCATTGGTAGAGTAGAACTTTTTTCTCATGAGGCAGAAGGAGAAAGTAGTGGGGTGGATGTATGAGGCTGGCTGTGATGGAGCTGGACAGAGAGGCAGAACGGAACTGAAGGCTGGGAGCCTCCCTCATATACAGGGAGCTTTAGGATTCTCCTTTCATTAGGTGTCCAAACACTGTGTGCCCACTTGGAGACAAGCAAGCGTGATCTCCAAGCAGCTCACCCACTGACTGCTTTGGCTCTCATGAGGCCTCTGCCAGGAATTGCCATTAACTAAGGTCCGGGAACAACTGCAGACCAGTCAGTTCCCAGGAGCATTCACATGTCATACAGGCTGGCTTCTGTTCCTTTCAGCAGGATTAATGTGCAATTGCTCTGACTGCCCATGAATGTAACTTCAAACTCCATCTCATCTCGACCTTGTGGTGATGTCATAAAAGCCTCCCGGAGGAATGCAGCACTCTAGCTTTGGTTGTTTATTCAAGGGACTATAGCTAGGAAAAGTCTTTAATCTGGAAAAGTATAAGAAGGAAATGATCAGGTTGAAAGGTAATGGGTGCTTACCTTGACCTTGGGGGTTCACCTAGAACTCAGCAGTGACCTGCCTGGAGAGAAATCCAGAGCTGATGAGCACGGAAAGAAAATGTGTTCTAACAGCTTTAGATGGGGAGCGACAGGGATGGGGGCAAATCTGAAGAAAGCCAAAGGATACTCGGAAGAGAGGTTTCACACTCTACCATGTAAAACCCTAGCTATGCCTTTGGGGTTGGGGGAAGTTCAGAAGTAGTGGAGGAAAATCAAGCACTTACCCTTTCCTGGTATGCATAGGGCTGTTTGGATTTCTCCTGCCTAATGTTCCCTGAAGGAGAGAGGGAGACAAATATCTTAAGAAAAAGTAGGAGATCATCATGTTCCTTTTTCCCTGGAAACCAGGCCTATTTCAGAGGGGATAAGAAAAATCCGGTTCAAAATAAGCTCAGGGAAGACCGAAACTCCATTCTAGGTTTCCCCACCTCCCTCTCCAGCTCTCTGTGTTCAGAGAGCAGATACCTGTCGCGTTTCTTCAAAAGGTTGAATGAGGTCCTACTCATTCATACATTCATTCAACAATAACTTACTGAGTGTTCGCTATGTTCAGGGAACTCTTCTAGATACTGATGTAGTGACTGTGAAAAACAGACAAAACCAGACCGAGTTAATGGTATGTAAAGTGTGATTTGAATATAGGAGGCAGGAACGTTCAATGCTTTTGCCCGTTTCGTATGGGATGCTTCCGACAAGCTATTAGCAGACAAGCTTTTTGGAATAAAGGCTTCCTTTCTTTTCTCCAGCTTTCTAATGAGCCTGGATCATTCATCATTGTTGTTCAGCTTCTGAGACATCCCGGTAAAGTGAACTACAAACATATTGAAATGCACACTTGGCCACAGGTTGAGGGATGGTTTCTCCACCCGAATCCCCTCTCCCTCCTACAAACCTCCTGGCAACCCCTGCCAGGAAAACCTCACCCAACTGCATCCGCCGCTTCTCTCCCTCTTTATAAGGATGGCTCTCAGGGGGGCGCGGAAGCGGCAGCGGCCCAGCAGGGAGCTGGCCGCAGGCCACGGCCAGCCCGAGAGCCCTGGGGGCCCCACCTCCCCTCGGGCCGCTGCCGTGCCCTGACCGGCCGCTGCGGGGCGCTGCGGCCCCAGCCTAGGAGCGCGGGCGCGGCGGGGCGGGGCGCGGCGGGCGGGCGCCGAGCGGGCGGCGGGCGCGGCGGCTTGGCCACAGGTAACCTGCGGGAGCGGAGAGCGCAGACCGGCGAGCGGCGGCAGGAGGCGGCGGCGCTGGGCGGCGCCGAGGCCCAGGGCCCGCCGGAGCCAGCGGGAGCCCGTGCCCATCGTCTCCCCTCGCCCCCCACGCTGTCGCCGGCGTCGGTCCCAGCGGCGCGGAGAGAAAGGTACCGTGTGTGCCCTCGCCGGGTCCCTTCGAGACCCCTCTTCATCCCAGGACAGGCGTCCCCTACTCTCGGGGAGCCTCTCATCCCGGGAGGACCGTGTCGCGGGTGGGAGCGCCCCCAGGTCGCTGTCTGTTTGGGGAGGAGTCCCAGACAGAGCGCGTTGCCCCCTTTTCTGCGGCCTCTGGGGAAGCCGGCGTGGGAGGGGGGGTCCTTCCTGGGGCACCTCCCTTGTCTCTTTCCTTTAGTTGCTTCCCTAGAATATAGAACTTTGGTGGGAGGAGGCAGAGAACTTTCTCGTCTTTGCTCGTCCCCCTCCTCTTTCTCCAGTGAGCTCAAAGAGTTTGTAGAAAGTGGGGGGCGGGGCGGGGGTCCCAGACCGGGCGCGGAGGCCGGCCGTCTTCGGGCGTAAGGGAGGGTCCCGTCTGGTGGCCAGCGTCCCCCGCCGTCCCTGGGCCTGCGGGCCGGCCTCCGAGTGACCGGGCTCGGCTCGGACGCGACAGCAGCCTGACCCCTTCCCTCACCTCTTCGAGGACCACAAAGGGCTGCAGGCGCCGGACCGTAGGGCTGCCCTACCCCGGGGAGGTCCGCTCTGGCTGGACTTAAGCTCTGTAAAGGGTTAGCAAGTGGCATCTCCCCGGGCTCAAGGGAGCGAGCACATTGTTTGGTTTGAGTTCAGACATCAGCTCCTGGACACTTGTCTTGGAAATTCAGTGTGGTGCTTCCGGTAGATTTGAGGGGCGGGAGGGGAAGTGGAGTCTTATTTGTGACCCTAGAGGAGCGTCCGTTTCCTAGAGCGGGTCAAGAATGTTTTCCCGGGGCTTACCTGGTGGCGCAGTAGTTAAGAATCCACCTGCCAATGTAGGGGACACGGGTTCGAGCCCTGCTCCAGGAAGATCCCAGATGTCGCAGAGCAACTAAGCCCGTGTGCCACAACTACTGAGCCTGCGCTCTAGAGCCCGTGAGCCACAACTACCGAAGCCTGCGTGCTCCGCAACAAGAGAAGCCACCGCGGTGAGAAGTCTGCGCACTGGAAAGAAGAGCAGCCCCTGCTCGCTGCAACTAGAGAAAGCCTGCGTGCAGCAACGAAGACACAACACAGACCAAAAAGAAAAAAAAAAGAATGTTTTCCCTAAAGCATGGTGAGATGGTTTAAGTGGTGGTTGAGAGATCCCCTTTGGGGTCATGAGATTGAGTCTTGATGCCACTTGTTAGGTGTGTGACATTGGAAAACCCACTTCTTTAAACCTCAGTTTTTAGAATTGTAAACTAGGTGTATTATACATTACCTGGGGGTACGGTTGTAGAAATTAAGTGAAATGATGCAAGTGAAAAGCTTGGCAGAGCGCTCTTGAAGGTTGGGCATCCTTTTTGTGAGTCTGTTGGATGGTGATATTCATTCACATTGAGCTAATGTCTGTTAGGCCAATGGAAGTGGGAAGCACTTGGGCAGTGAACACAAACACTCCTGGGTCCACGGTGGTCCCACAGTGTACTGATGGTCTCTGACGTAGTTTCCCATCCTTAAAATGGCAATAGCAACCTGTTGTTCTCCTGCTGTAGTAGGTGCTGGACTATACATATTTATCTTTCATCATCCCTAGCAGGTGCTTAGTATCTGGTAAATGAAGAATTTTTTTTTTTTGATTAGGGATATAAATTAAAATTGGAAGAGTTTTCTGCCCTCTAGGTCCTAAATGAGATGGGGAGAGTGGAAGAAGGGTGTAAAGGAGTAAGAGCCCAGAAAACAACTGGTTGCATGTTGTTGGGAGGTATAAACCAAGGGTGATAACAAAATGCTAATTTGTTGACTCCTTGTTCGGTGGTGGCACCAAAAATTAACCTTAGCTTCCCACTCAAACTCATCAGCCTCTCCAGAGCCCCTCCAGATAAGCATATAATCCAAGTAAAAGCAGACGGCTTGTGATCCAACTCTGCTTAGAGACGAAGTACTCTTTCAACTCCCAAGGCCCTCGCATATTGAAATTCTGGTGCTGCCACTGTGGCCTATATCATTCATTCAGAAAGTATCAAACGGAGAGGTACAAATTAAAGAAGAACACAAGGCACACCCGGGTACCCATCACCCAGCTGAAGAACCAGGGCATCCTCAGAACCTTGCAGGCCCGAGCACTCCTCCCTGTGGCATTCCACTTACTTCTCTCTCTCTCCCCAAGGAACTGATAGTCTGGATTTTGTGTTTATTTTCCCCTTGCTTTTCACCTTAATATCTTACATGAAAAACTCTGTGGAAGGGAAGTTTCCAAACAAGCCTTTCCACAATAACCTGGAGCATTCCTGTAGAACGTAAAAGCAGGATATTGAGAGTAAGATGTAAACCACAGAAAGCTGAAAGTATCAAAGTGCTGGGACGGGCAGGCTGGCTGTCAGGGTCTGCCCCCAGTTTCCTTTGGCACAGGTTCTGTGGGTGTGTTCTGTCTGTGTCGGAGAGGGCCAGTCTCTTCGAACATAGCTTGGAGGCTATAATTTTGAAAGCTTTGCTTGAGTCTCTAAGAATTGGAAAAACAGTAATTAGTGTGCATGTGTTTTAGAAGTGTTTAAAAAAAATACCAGTTTTCCAGGGGACATTGTATGGGATTTGAAGGATTAAGCCAGCTGAGAGTGACCTTTAAAAACGGTTTTAACCTAAATTCTTCTTTTTCTGGTTATGATATTTGTGTTAGGGACCTTAAGTTATTCCTTTGGGCTGAATCACAGGTCTCCTCCGTGAATCTTACACATTCTGACATTTCTTGGTTAAGGCAAAAATTCCTAAACTTGGTTCATGGCCCCCTTAGTATCTAAGTAATTTTTTCAGTGTCCCTAGATTTAGGTAGTCAGTAGTAGTTAGGTTGAAATAACGTAATAAGTATTTATATCCTAACAACATACAAGCTGTTTGAAAAAAAAAGAATGCACATAAACTGAGAGAAAAAAATTTATATCATTCTTAAATAACCACAGCTACAAAGAGGATGTGTGTGTGTGTGTGTGTGTGTGTGTGTGTGTGTGTGCGCTGCACACACAAACTTTGGGATCAGATTGGATCCCAATCTCATTTCCTGTCCCACGTTAATTTTTCTGAAGCACTTGCTTTTTATCACAGCAACCACTGAAAACCCAAGCTTTGCAGAGATATGATGTCATTGATAGGAATGTAATGGGATCTGATGTTGAAGCTGTGGGCTCCTCCAGTCTGTAAGTTCAGTGTCCAGCACATTGAGTACACTGTGTTTCCCTTGAAATTTTCAAAACTCCTACGTTTCCCCTGTGCATTTTCTACAGCTCCTGAGCGCCTTGGCGCACAGTTGGGGAATTGTTGGTCTAATGTAAAACCCCCTTCCCAAGAGAGATCAGTTACTAAGGAAGGTGTCTGCCTGAAGTAGCCCCAGGTTAAGCTTCTGGGTACAGTGGGCTACATCTCGGTTTTCTCCTCGGTAAAATGGAGTGGCTAGAGCCTTCCTCATAAGGGTCATTCAGAGGATTAAACTAGATAACGTATGTAAAACCATCTACTAAAGCCCTGGAATATAATGGAGTCTCAAGAAATGGTAGCTGTTTTAATGATTGTTAAATAGTACTAAATGAATGTCCAGTAATAGGTGTATGTCATTGCCCCTACTTAAGAATAGCCAGTACTTGAAATCTCAACCTTAGCAAATAAACTATGAGGTAATTAGTTCACATTATAGGATGATTTATCATTTTCAAACAGAAAACTCTGGTGTACCATTGTGACACTTTGATTTTTCAGACCATCCTTGGAATACTCATTTTCATTTGCCACCATGTGCCCTGGTTTGGGGAGGAGGTCATAACTGATTGGATTGAGCCTGAACTTTGTCATAAGACAAAGTCTTGGGAAGTTTGGATGTAGGTTACAGGCCAAGAAATGTTTCAAGTAGGATTTAATTTCCGTATATACTTTTGGCACAGAGAGCAGATAATCTTTTCAGAATAAACAGTTTTTATTAAATTGTAGAGCATCCCATGATAATTCCTATCAATAAGTGGTACTTGTTAATCCTCCAAGGAAAGGTTGACTTGGATAGCGATGTCACAGATGGCTGTCATGGTGCCTTTTAGGTAACATAGACCTTTCCTCCCTTGTCCTATTCCTTGCCCAGATCTCAAGCGTAAGCTAGGACCAGGTGATATTTTAACAATTTGTGAGAATACACTCAATAGTGATGTTTCCCTAGCATAGTTGTAGATTCTTATTGTTGCTTTCTTCAGTCATTTATCATTGGGAAGCCTATACAGTGCCATAGGTGATGCTTCCAAATTGACATAAAATTTTTTTCTGTTTGTTTTGGTTTATAATGTTGAGGGTTTTTTTCTCCCTGTATAAAATTTGGATATATGTTTGTGTGTGAGAAAGTATTTGATTCTTCTGAACTGATAATTCCATTTTTTCCATTTCATGCCCATCTATAAATTATCAGCATTATTTTTACTTAACATATTGCTCCTTTCTTAAAAAATAAGAATTTCATATCTTGCCTTGGGTTAAGCTGATTATATTTAACACTCAATATCTTTTTTTCCTAAAGTATAGCTGACTTAGCAATATTATATTAGTTTCAGGTATACAACATGGTAATTCAATATTTTTATAGATAATACTCAACGCCTTATGGTTTTAGGGTATAAAGTAGAAAACTGCATTGTAGATAATAAAATGTGGATTAGAATGAATTGCTTTCTACTTTTTGTCTGCAACTCTTAATTAAAAGAAAATTGAGAGTCAGAAAGTTTGAGCATCCGTTTATTAGAATCTGATATTAGGCACAAAGTGCTTTGCAAAATGCTTGACTCTTTTTCTTAAAGGCTATAATCCATTTATAGTTATTATAAAATATTGGCTATATCCTCTATGTTGTACAATATGTTCTTGTAGCTTATTTTATACCTAATAGTTTGTATCTCTTAGTCCCCTACCGCTATACTGCCCCTCCTCCCTCCCTCTTCCCACTGGTAACCATTAGTTTGTTCTCTGTATC